TGATGCACAATATGGTATAGTCCAAAAGGGGGTTTGAGAGGTGCTGTAACTGGTACCAATCACTCTTGCTGTAGCTGTCAGCGGTACACAGGGGTCTGGGTTTAGGCTTGGTGATCTCTTCTAAGTTCTTGGTTCCTTTTCCTTCGGTCAGGTAAATACAGTCTTTAACTTCATTGTAGAAGCATTCTTATCTTACAGACTTTTAATGAATATAGAGACACTAGACACTACAGTACATGTATGTAGTTGTTGCATGTATGTACATACGTGTAGATAGTGAAGTTTAATTTGTTTTGGCAACTTTTGCACATTCTAGAAATTGACTATAGTTTCTCGGATTTGGTGCTTTCAAGTTGTCATCTTTTTTTCTAGAAAAATGTACAATGCATTTTACTTCTCTTACTAGCATTTTCTCTGCATAAAAAGTCTTGCATTCATTTTTGTTTCAATTGGAAATTATACTGTGTTGAAAACCCTGTTTCTGTTGAAGTATCATCATCATCATCATCATCATTCATCCTCCGTAGAGGTGGAGCATACAAAGTTAGTTCGCCACAACTGTCTGTCATACATCACTGAGAAAAGTTGAAGTATACTGTCTTTTAAAAAAAAAAATTCTACATGGAAAATGCACTAATTTGTCAGTTTTCATTTTCGTACCATTCTTTCCTGTAAGAAACCTTTTTTTAAAACCATTTTCTGCAGATTTTTATTCCATGAGAACTTTGACAAGTCCAAGAACAGAACTTTTACCACTAACTTGTGAAGTTCCTCCTTCCTGTGCTGAAAATGTCCTGGCCACAACATTAATTATTCATTACAATCAATCAATCAATCTGTCAACAAATCGACTGGATCACTGACTTGGAAAAGTAATGAGATAGGAATTAATACTGGTTATGGAAGATGATTTTTTTACGAATTATTGTAAGAAACAGAGGCGAGCAGTAGAAACAGATAAAAACCCTCTGGTCCCGGGCCGGGGTTCAAACCCACGACCTCCCGAGCACCAGTATTTCCAAGGTATTTTCAACATATTACAAGGTGATTTCAGGTTCTGAAGTTTGTTTTCAAATTCCTTATCCAAGTCATCACTTTGCAATGCAGGAATTTTATGGGTATCGTAGAAACTCATCAAAATGAGATGGTTTTCTTTTCCCTATTGGCAACTGAAATTCGGTTACACTGGATTGTATTTGAAACTAAGTGCTTTTTTGTAAAATGTGATGAAAAATAAAGCCTTTTCTTTGATGTCCTAAAAGTAGGTTAGGATCTCAATTAGCAAAAAAAAAAATTCTGAATTACAAAATAGTTTTCTTCCAGCATTGGATACTGAAATCAAATTGCTTTGAGTTACATCTGAATATACATGTCTTTGTAGAATGTAATGAAAAATCAAGCCCTGCCTTTGTCCTATAAATAAGTTAAGACTTCAATCAGCAAAAGAAAAAAGAAACAACAAAATTATTTTCTTCTAGTACAAGGTACTGGAATCAAATTATATTGGGTTGTACTAAACAGATTTCTATATCAAGATATCAGGAGCAAAAGTTTTCTTTTTATGCTACAAGTAGGTTAAAAGTGAACAACAGAATTGGTGAAATGTGTTCTCTAGTGTTAGGCCACACCAAGTAAATTTTATGGATGACGGCCGTGCGCACATTGATTTTGACCTGTTCCTAGAAAAAAACAACAAGAAATTCCGCTTCCTGTAACTATGACCAAAGAGTCACGACAGTACCGCAAATCGTCAGTGAAACCCGTAACGCGAAAACAGGACAGGACGACAACTGCTGTTCCACCTGATTTATTGCCGTTTTGATGATAAATAAAAGACTTCTTGCTTGTTACACTGTGTCACCTCATTCAATTTGTGTCCTAACATTTGTCGTCGCTTAGTATTTTTCTGATCTAGACCTCTTGTTTTTTAGGGCCCTTCTTGTTTTTTTTTTCGCCCTCTCGCATTAGATTTAGGGTCTCCAAAGGATGTCATCCATAAAATTTACTTGGTGTGGCCTTATAACAACAGCTCATTGTTAGACATGTGATAATGAGCTTATATGTGGATCTACTAGGCTGTATGTGGCAGTGTTCATAGCAGGGGTTGTTTATTCAGCCAGCAGTTTCCATTCTTCGCTATGTAAACATACTAATAGTCCAGGTTACCAGTAACCAAGGGGACATGAGGATTTGGGGGAAACATTTTGATCGCGTTTGGGAACTGAAATTCTCGCTGAAATGAGGAAACGTGTTGAAAACAGAGATCTGTTTGTCAGTGTTGAAATACGTGTGGGAAAAAGTTTCGAAGGGATGTCTTTCTTACTGTCCATAAGACTCCATTTTTTGGAAAGTGGTGCTGCAAAATGTTACGGTACGGTACACTTTTGTCATAGATTGTTGTAGGATTTTGATAGACTTTTCAAGCAGACGGTGACAAAACCAACTGCCTGTAACTATAAGGGGGCCTGCATGGGGGGGGACCCGTCAACACTCTACGCTAAATTTTGAGAGCTGGCTACGTATTACGCTGAATTCAGGAAATTTCTCAATTACGCTTTACGATAAATTCCAAGTGGCTACAACGCTCTACGTAGAATTAAAACGGCGAATACGCTCTACGCAAAATGCGCCAATTACGCTCTACGTTGAATTAGAGCGGTTCGTCTATGCTGTACGTAGAATCAAAACGGCCGATTACACTCTACGGAAAAGGGCATGTGGGCCCCCCTTACACAGTCTTTTCTGTGAGAAGACAGCTGAATTTTGTTAGCCTGGGTGCCATCCGATTTGTAACGGCAATGCCAAAAAAATTTTTCAGGATTTACCATACAAATCGGATGGCACCCAGGCTAGAATTTTGTAGGACACATTGTACGATCATACAATGTTTGACATGTGTCTGGGCCCTTAGCGGGAATGTTGGTCAAAGCTAGTTTTGTGGGAGTTAAGGTTTAGTTTGGGTACCATTCTGGTTACCTCATGTCTACCACTGACATTGTTGGTTATCATTACGGCTATCAAAACACAAACTTACCAGAATGGTATCCATAGGAGGGACTGTTGGAATGGGAAGCAAAACCAAAAAAAATATTCTGGATGAGGAAATCTGTCTGATATTGACATTTACTGCTATTTCGGTGCATATTTTTGTCATCATTTCAAACTTGAAGCATTTGAAATAACTTCTTAAAACAAACATGCGTAAGGTGTCTATTTATTTTTTGTGTTTTATTCTTTCTTATTTCATAAAGAATATTTCAAATGTCTGATTGAAAGGAATATTGCAGGCAGGTATGCAGAAAAAAGGATTTCGAGCCCTAAAGTGTTATAATGTCCATCTTATTTGTTCCTTATAGGAATATTGCAGGCACATACCTACATGTATGTTTAGTACTTTCGATAAAAAAGCATATCTTACAAAAAGAAATTACTATTAACAAGGCTTTCTTGTTGCTTTTCTCTACTTTCTATGTCAATGTTTTTTCTGCCGTACCAGACCCTAAAAGCTTGGCAAACATTGTGCTTTAATGAAAACGCTAAGAGGGTAAGTCACCGAAAATACCAGTAGCAGTTTTACAAACATGCCTTTTGGCTAAGCAGCTTATGTTGAGATTAGTGCCCCCTGTATTTTCTGAGGATTACTGCAGGCGGGACAATGCCATGTGTGGGATATGGCACCTTGCATCTGCTTGGATTAAAAAACAGTAATAAGCCTTATGTATTGTTTTTAGGAAAGAAAACATTGGAGTGCCATTTAGTCAGATGTTATTCTTCACGCTCCTTGTTTTGTAACATAAAAAGCCATTGTTTTTATTTTGTTCCAACATTATAATATTTCAGTTTAAAAGGTTTTATAACTTTCTTAGGTGCACTTCTTAAATTTGTCAAGAAGTTTTTCAACAAGTTTAATTTCAAAGACTTGTTGCAAATGGAATTAAATTGTATTCGTAAGATGCAATCCAAGCAAACCAGAGTACGACATATTTTTGTTTCGATTTGATGTTTCAAAGAAATTCAGTTTTTCTTAGTGCTGCATACTGGTTCACTAGACTTGGATCCAGACTTGTAAGGTTCAAGTCCAAAAAAAAAAAACAACTAAAAGTCAAAAACCGAGTCCAGACTTATTTAGTTATTACCAAAAAAAAAAAAAAAACATTTCACACACACATGTACCCCTTTTCTTTCACATACCCCTTTCTTTCCAAACCACAGTAATTTAGTAAAGCCTTCCGTAGATTGCAAAATCTGTGCTGCAAAATGAAGAAAACATTGCCATCGGGCATCATCAAGTACCGGCCTCCATGTTATGTGGACAAAGTTTTGCCCAAACAACATTGCAAAGTTGCCAGTATGCAATATTGTATATGCCACGGGTTTAGGTCTGGACTTACAAGTCCGGAATTGAACCTAAACCTCTGGACTTGAATCTGGACCTGAACCTAAATGTGGGTTTAGGTACATACATTTGTAGCACTAGTTTTTCTTCTATTAATAAAATGGCATCTTTCAGCATTGTTATCTGAGTGTGTACTCAACACAAGTTTGGTGTGATGCTTTGGGAATGTTTTAACTAGTGTTTTTGGATCTTGTTGCCGTCTCGCCTTTCAACACACCCAGATATCAGAACAGGAACAGCAGATTATCCAGATTAACACTAATCCTTTCAAGTGGGTCCAGCGTTTTTACCAAAGCCTCGCGCTCCTCATGTAACACACGTGATTGTGTGGAGGATGTGTACTGTAAACTCACTAACTTTTGCAGTGGTTTAATTTCATGCTAGGAAGTTTTCGCAGTGTTAAAATTCGCATTGGTAGCCATTCTGTAGTAGTACAGTAGTTACATAGTGGAAACTGATCTTCCTGGTGGGATGAATTTGTAGTGAAGACGTCACAATGAAAAAAAATACACAAAAAGTTTGGAGGTATACAGTACTGTCAAGCAAACTGTGTTGATGTGAGGGGTTCATTTCTGTTACTGATCATATGTTGTTTTTCTTGTAGGATTTCGTCACTTGAAAATCGGGACTGAGAGAAGAAGCTGTTGCAAGTGATACCTTTGAGGTAAGATATATTGTTTTTTTGTTTCTTTTCAGGAAAATTTCTGTTGGTTTGTTTGTTTGTTTGTTTGTTTATTAGATCTCCATTAGATTTACATGAAATCTATTCTTCCTGGAGTCACAAAATTACAATGAAACAAATGTACAGAACAGAACAAAACAAATGTACATGAAAGTAAAACCAACATAACAAAAGGTGTGAGTCTTAATAAAAAAAATAACATAACGCACACAACATTAACTGAAATCTGAACTTAAGTGAACGGGGAGAGGTCAGAGGTCATGGATGATGGTTTTAGCTTCTACAGCCTTTTTGGAATGCTGTTTTGATTTAAGATTTTATGGATATCCATATACTATTACTTATTAGCATTGGAGTATGATCATAAGATGCAATCCTAGCAAAGCAGAGTTCGACATATATTTGTGTTGATTTGATATATAGTAGAGGGGATTCATTCCTCAAGCTACCGACATCTTGCACACGCAGTCGTCCCTCAGTAAGACATCTGGAGCCGCATAGTTCCCGTTTAGAACTTTTATTCAGCCTGTCACACAGTGTGACAGGCTGAATAAAAGTTCTAAACGGGAACTATGCGGCTCCAGATGTCTTACTGAGGGACGACTGCGTGTGCAAGATGTCGGTAGCTTGAGGATTGAATCCCCTCTACTATATACTGTGTTGATTTGATATGTTTCAAAGAAATTCAGTTTTTTAGCATAAGTCATTGTTGGGGCCACACCTTTACACACACACGTGCGCACACACACACACACACACACACACAATCACATGCACGCACGCACACACACACACACACACACACACACACACACCAATGAATGAAGGACCCAATTCAAGTTTTGGAATACATGTCCATTTTATTGCATGAATAAACAAAAAAAAATTGCAGTTGCGTATCTTATATAGATACCTGACATTCCTCTTTGGATTACTTTGATTAATCCTATCTCTATTAGCCTGGTATCCAGACATATTATTATAGCTGCTCAGCTCTCTTTCATTCCTCTCCTATTTGCAGACAGTCTAGTTAGCTATAATAGGTCTGGATACCAGGCTAATCTTCATAAGATAAGAATCTCATAATGTTGTATATATTAGTATTAATGTCAACACTCACTTGCATGGATAGCAGTTTTAGCCTTGTTAACCTAATTATGCCCAACCCTATCTGTAGTCTATCAGCACTGTTAATCACTCTATATTTGCGGTAACAAAATTTCGCAGTCTGAGAAAAATGGACGTGTTTGCGGAACTATATATTTGCGTTGGCAGCAGGCGCAGAAGAAAAAAGTCAGAGAAGTGTTTTTGTTCGCAGTAATGATAAATTTGGGGTACAGAAGTGACAGCGAAAACCGTGAATATAAAAGTACCGCAAATATATGGAGATTTTACAGTAACCCCCATCTCTGTCAGCTGTATCACTACTATCAGTGTCTGAGCTGTCAACGCTCAGATCTAGGCCAATTAGACCTGTGGGAAACTGTCCTTAGTCATAACATTGCATCAAGATCTGGTATCTTGTGCATCAGATCTAAAATTTACGGCTCTATCTGGAACAGTGAAACTGCTCTCTTTTCTGTAAGGCATAATTTTACACATAACCAGCCTGCTCTATACAAGTAATTCTTAGCCTCTATCAGACTTTAGGAAGCGGCTGAAAAGAGATTAAATTAGCGAAATAGACAGGTTAGGCCAGGGGAGACTAGATAGACACAGACAATTAACGTTTTCAATGTAATGTGTTAGGAAGGTTCAGGATTATCAAAAATGGGTTATGAGCACCGAGAAATTTTGCAATACTTGTCATGCACTTTCTTCATAGACCAACTGTCAGTGATGTTTCAAGTTTGAGCGAGGTAGAGCAATGTGTTGAATTGTCATGTACAAATGTATATAAATGTATGTACATTACTTTGTGTTAGTGTACAATGTATTAAAAGGGGTGTATACAGTACTTGACTAATGTTGATTCTAAATGAATTAGGAAACAAAGCACAGTCTTTTAAAAAAAACTCAAATTCATTGTTTTTTAGCTTTCCAGTCTGAAATCCATGTTACTATCAGGAGGACAGTGTAGAGGTATGTTGTTGTCAAGATTTGGAACAGATTTCCTGTTAGATTTAGTCCAGATGCCTTCCAGGTCCCTCATGATCATCACAAAACTCATCAGCCACTTTGTAAGGCATTAGTGTGCAGGACACAGTAGCACTAGCACTGACTGTGATAGAAAACAGACATATACTCAACCTGCCAGGCACTGGTCTGTTTCCTGGTCTGGAGTCAGGATTTATGGAAGAAAAAAGGGTGAAGATTATCCCTTTAAACTGTAATTTCCAACACAAGAAATTGGACTTACCTTAACATTTATGACTCTAGTCTTTGTCAAGGAATGAGCAATCCACCACTATATATGATATGTGAGGTCACGTTATGCAGATTGTTTTTCAGTACAGCAAAATTAGTGGTTAATAGTGGTAAAGATTTAGGAGGAAAGTGGCGGGCCCTGAGAAAGCTAGTCAGCTCTACCCACCAGGTGCAAGAGGATTGAGTGAGTGAGTGAGTGAGTGAGTGAGTGAGTGAGTGAGTGAGTGAGTGAGTGAGTGAGTGGTAAATATTTAGAGTTTGTGGGTAAGACTAGAATTTGGGGGATAAACAGCCCAAGAACAACAAGAGTGTCTGCACCATGAGTGCATGGGGTATGCCTGTCAACTCATATTTAGAAATTAATGTTAATGTTAAATTCATGAGGGGTTATCGCTAAATGTTTGGGGAGCGATTTCCTTAGATTGTTCCATATTGTATTCATGGGGTGTCTGGGAAAACTATACACAACCGTCTGTCTCCTAATTTGCTTTCATTGCCAATTAACATGTTTCGCTGGTGGTAATAGCTTTAATAGACAATAAGCAACTTGGGTTTAAAGTTTATTAGGTATTGCCAATAATAACAAGCTAAGGGACGACGTAATTCCCAAGCTTGGTGCAGAAGCAATTTACCCGTGTCCCGTCTAATTATCATCAAGTATAGAAAAAATTTAATCGTAAAATTGATTTTTGGAAAACGCGAAGAGTTTGATATATGTATCAGTGCCAAGCCATAAGTAAGAATTAGTAAAAATGGATTTTTATGTCAATTCAGTTCTTGAAGATATTTGATGAACACTTTTAGTCATTAATCTTTTAAGATCACTTTAATATTAACATTTATAACTCATTTTTGCCTGAGTCAAGCGAGGAAATTATTGGTGTAAAGTGCTTTTCCCAAGGGCACAACATAAGCGTTATTCTACTGTTTAACAATGCCACACATGTAGACACAAACTAAATCTGTGAACCAACGTAACCTAAGATTATGGCGGAAACATAACAGGTCAATTGGCGTACAATCCCGGAGAAACGTTCGCGACGTGCGGCGCAGTCCCAAAACTCCGCAGCAATTAACCACCAAGGATCACGCGAAATCTTTCGCTATACCTTCCGCCAAACGATAAATGCGTCAATGTCACCTCTAATAAGTGGTAACAGGTTTCCAATATCTCACCCCCCCCTCCTTCTAGTCATTAAGTTTCTGATGTGGAATCATTGTTAGCTTAGGCATAATTATTTGATAAGCTATAATGATTGTATAAAGGAGTGTAGTGGGACATGATTACTAATGCTTGCTGTAAGGTCATATTAGTGGTTATGGTATGATTATTGTGCGATAGACGTATTATTTTATTTCTTTTTATATTGCAAGACACAATGTATATATAGCAGCCTTCATTGGCTAAAATTCTGTATGATTTACAATTTTAAGTAATCTAAAAGCAATAAAGATTCATACATAAGCTAAATATTACATGTACAAGCATTACAATACACACTTTTGAAATGTGTACATGGGAAAAAAGAGTGACTGTCCTTGGTACTGAATATGCATTCTTAGAGGAAAAAGGGAGACTTCATGGTACTGAATCTGCCTTTAACTGGAAAAAGAATGACTGTCCTTAGTACGGGAAATGCCTTCAACTGGAAACAAGTGTGACTGTCCTTGGTACTAAATGTGCCTTCAATTATGAAAAAGTGTAAGTTGTAACTGTCATTAATACTGAATATGCCTTTAACTGGAAAAAGAATGACTGTCCTTAGTACGGGAAAATGCCTTCAACTCGAAACAAGTGTGACTGTCCTTGGTACTGAATATGCCTTTAATAAGGAAAAAGAGTGACTGTCCTTGGTACTGAATATGCCTTTTATAAGGAAAAAGAGTGACTGTACTTGGTACTGATTATGCCTTCAATTAGGAACAAGAGTCACTATCCATGGTACTGAATATGCCTTTAATTAGGAAAAATTGTGACTGTCCTTGGTACTGAATATGCATTCAATTAGGAAAAAAGTGACTGTCCGTGGTACTGAATATGCCTTCAACTGGTAAAAAGAGTTACTATCCATGGTATTAAATATGCCCTCAATTAGGAAAAGAGTAACTGCTGAATTATATGCCTTCAGTTAGGGAAAAAATGACTGCCCTTGGTACAGAATATGCCTTCAACTAGAAAAAAAGAGTGACTGTATTTGGTACTGAATGTGCACTCAACTGGTAAAAAGAGTGACTATCCATGGTATTAAATATGCCCTCAATTAGGAAAAGGGTAACTGCTGAATATGCCTTCAGTTTGGGAAAAAATGACTGTCCTTGGCACAGAATATGCATTCAACTAGGAAAAAGAGTGACTGTATTTGGTACTGAATATGCCTTCAACTGGTAGAAAGTTACTATCCATGGTATTAAATATGCCCTCAATTAGGAAAAGAGTAACTGCTGAATATGCCTTCAGTTTGGGAAAAAGATGACTGTCCTTGGTACTGAATATGCCTTTAATAAGGAAAAAGAGTGACTGTCCTTAGTACTGAATATGCCTTTCATGAGGAAAAAGAGTGACTGTTCATGGTACTGAATATGCCCTCAATTAGAAAAAGAGTAACTACTAAATA